CGCCTTCTTCTGGCCTTGTCCTCATCTACACGAAGCACCTCTGAACACCCCCCGTAAATCCGCTCCCTCCCCCTTTTTGGGCCTTTTCGGGGGTTTTTGCGGATTCGTTCTGTGTTGTGCCCCGGAGTCGGTTTTTGTTGCCACATTTCTGGGGCCCAAATTGGTCCAAGTTTTTGCTATTTTTAAAATTCTTTGATTCAGAACTGGCGTATGCTGTAGCGCATCGTACTCTGGAGTACTGTAGCTCAATTTTCTAATTCCGCTACGTTACTTTATAATTTTAGAAACCGGAAATTCCGTAGCAAGCCTCCAAACAGCTAGCAGCACGACTTTTTTGGCTGTCTTTATATTTTAGAAAAAGCTACCGTAACACATCGCTATCGTATTTAAGAGCTAAAAAGTCAAAAAATCTCAATAAAAATTCATAAAAGGTAAAATTCATTATTTTCCTTTCATTACCGTATCCCATCGCTACATTTTTGCTTCAGTCAGAAAATTTACAGAAATTCTTAAACCTTCCCCTGTACGGTCCAAACCATAAAACCGGCAATATCGCAGGTTCGCATAACGTGTGATATCCCGGATTACTGTATCCTGCCGTATCTTACCGTATCATACCCAAATCCCCCTAATTCCGTTGCAATCCTGTGCATTGGTGTCGCCCGAATTCCGAATACCATCGAAACGCTCCGGACTCGATCCCCGCCCAGCCACTATCCATCCATCCATGTCCACGTGGCTGTGTTTGACCGTCTCTCTCCTTTCTTTTTTTTTTCTCTCTCTCTCTCTCTCTCTCTCTCTCCTGCCTGCACACTGTTTGTTCTTCTGTCCACCCGCAGCCCTCAGGCGCCGTTTTGTGTTGTGACTACATCCTAGTCTCCCGAATTTCCGCGCTCGGCTCCTTTTTACGCGCGGGCGCGCGCCTAGCGCTGTGCGAAACGCATAGAATTTGCTGGTTTGTGCATGTTTCTATCTCTCTCCCTCTCTCTCTCCAACCGGATCCGGTCCATTTTGGGTACAACGCACCTGGAGAGGTGGTCTGAAAAAGGGTGTTTCCGAATAAATCCTATCAACATGGCTAGACACAGTCTTCGGAAAACTGGATCTCCCTACGGCAGAAAAATGTGAAAGCTTGCCAAGGGCAAAGATTAGAGAACGTGAGGTTGAAATTTCCCAAGACAGCACTACAACATTGCTAGGGGACGGCGAAAAATCAAAAATCCAACTTTTTGAGGAGGGGATTCCGCAAAAGATTTTTGCTAGCTTGCCTTGAGAATGAAATAGAGAGTAAATAGCAGCTAATAGAAGCCTAAAAGGCTTTTTTCCACAAGAATCACTGCTAGCCCACCCTGAATTTTTCTTATCGACAAAGCCAAATCCCTTCGCCAATGCTTTCTGCTGGTTTTACAACCGATTGCAAAAAAACTCTGCTAGCTTGCCCACATTTTTTGACAATTCCCTGCCCCTTTAAAAGTGCAAAGTCGAAGAATTTTTTGATCCCGATTTGCGCGTGTGGTTCGTGTCGAAATTCGATCCCCCCGGCGGCATCGGATCGTCGGATCTCGGGGAATGTACTGCAAAAGCGCCTCCGCTCACTAAAACACACCCAAAATAGATACTGTGTCAATAGGTGTAGGTTGGAATCGTGTGAATTGGATGGTTCAAAATACTTAAGGGTGTTTAGGGAACTCTCTTTCACTGCTATTGCTCTCTCTAGCCTCTCTCACCCTCTCCTCTCTCTCTCTCTCTCTCTCTCTTTCTCTGGCATACAAATTATGCAAATTACGACTTTATTAACAAGGATACATTCTAGGGTAGTCTAGGCCGCTCTCGCACTCGCTATCTCTCTCTCTCTCGCTCTCTCCCTCTCTCTCATTCTCTCATTCTCTTTTCCTATGTCTTTCTCTCGCTTTAAAAATACATAAATTATGGCTATATAGTTATTTTGATCTCTTAATTACCTTAATTTTTGCAGAACGACATGGCGGGGTCGGGCGGGCCCCCTCCGACCCGCTCCTTTCTACCGTCCTTCTCGTCACTCGCCGCCTCACTTTCAGCAGCCAATAATGCAGGTCAGGGAGGGTAAAAAGCAAAAATTAAAACATTTGCATCGAACGAAAATGATCCTATGATCCCTAAAAAATCGAACAAATCAAATTTTTCACGATCTTTTCACTTCTGAAAATGGAAAACCGCGTATTTTTCGAGTCGTCAGAAATGTTATTTAGGAAGCTATTTGTGCTGATGATGTGTTTTCAGGAGTTCCCGTAGTCCCAGCCCTGCCGATCGGCAACTTTTTTCCCTCCACCTCACCCCTACAGACACCGCCAACACCGACGACGTCGGCACCGTCTTTTGCGGATGTTAGGGTACGTTTCTCAGGCGTCTTAAAGGAAGCGTGACAGCTGGAGTACGGTCCTTTTAAAAGCTTTGAAATCTCCGAATTTAACCTCGATTTAGGAAGCAGCAGCCCGAGCTCTTGCTCCTCCACTCCCGATCCTCCTCCCCTCATCCAGCCCATCATCCGTCCTCCTCTCTCAGAGTCTATTCCAGACGACCACTGCTTGCACGGCATCTGATATTCCATCTACATCCAGAATCGGATCCGCCTCCCAGCTATCGACGTCGCCTTCCACGTTGATCAAGGTGGGTGATTTATATAGGTTAAGATTTAAAACTCCGTGCTTTCTGGCCCATTTTTTACTGCCCTTTAATGTCACTGCTAGCGTGCCACCACAAAAAAACTTAAAAATATGTTTTTACCTTCTTTATTCCGTTTTTCACGCATCAAAAAATTGCGTGCTATTTCGCATTCGGCTACCGTACCCTTCCTGCAAAAACAGCGCATCCCAACAACCGGGAAGACCTTTGATGCATAATTCGAGAAAGTACGAAATTGGTGCCGGAAACCCCCGGGTATTTTGGGGATTCCGCAGCGCTCCATAGTTCAGCGCCGCCGGGCCCAAAAGATCAGCAGCATTCTGTAGATTTTTTGGGGCTTCGGGGTGGAAATTTACGTAATTTGCATGCTGGGAATCCGCAAAAAATGGCCTCATTGGCCAAAAAGGCAATTTTAAAGGGCATTTTAAAGACGGCGAAAACTTATGGATTTTTGGCTTTCGGGCCCCTTTATAGGTTCAGAAAAATGCCCCGAGAGACTCGTGGGACATGAAATGTCGATTTTCGATTTTCAAGAGAGCATCAAGGCAATGAGACCCAGAAATTTTTGTCTTCCAAGTTCTTTTAAACGCTCAAAAAATCCCAAAAGGACGTACCGGCACGCTACTTTTGACGCTACAGTACTCTCCGTAGCTCCTGCTACCGTATCATACGTTTCCTAGCATCTCTAAAAAATGCTCTCCCCTCGGGCCACAAAGTTCACCTCCATGCGGATTAGCCGGGAAGCTGCGGCCCAATTATCCCCCCTAACCGTAATATGGTGTCTCCCGGAATTTTGAGTGTTTGGTTGGAAGGAAACCCCGCGAATGTATCCCTCTTGGCTTCCATTAGCAAATCGGGGATTGGCGAATAAAAAATGCGGGAACGTTGCGTAGCCGGGTTCTTTTTATGAGGGATTTGGACTGGAAAACACTAAAAATGACCCATGAATGATTGTCGATCAGAAGTATTCCCCGGTGAATGAATTCTATGAAGCAGCAGAAAAACCCAAAACTTCGACAGAAGTTTAAATAGCTTATAAAATTAAATTTCTTATAAAAATTAAACGAAAATTTGTCTAAAATGACAAATATGGTACATAAAAAATATTGACACGACAAATATGCTAATTTTCATTTTCAGGGCGAACGCTGCGTGGGCTGCGCTTCCGATTCCGCAATCCGGGTCCATTACGGAGCCCCTTCATGTCATGGATGCAAAGCATTTTTTCGGTAAGCCCTAAAATCTCTCGCCTCTCTCTATCGCTCTCTCTCTCTTTTTCTCTTTCTCTCTCTCTCTCTCTCGCTCTCTTCTGCTAAACGCCCAAAACCCTAGCATTTTCCAAAAATTATTTTTTTCGACGGCCACAATTTAAGCTGGGCGGGTGGACCGGAAGAAATCCGGATTACCCGGGCGGGGGATAAGGTGACTTTTGGGGAGTAATGGTTGCAGTTTAGCCCGTTACAATGGGGGGTGCTGATTAAAACGGGCTAATGCGGGTCGAGGCCGGGATCAGGATCAGGGTTTTGGCCTGTTCGGGATTGTCATCAAAAAATTGCAATTTTGGAGGTTTTTGGTTTGCTGCGGTTTTTGAAGCGTGTATAGGAGTTGGAAGTTAAAGTCAGGGAGAGAGAGGAAGAGAGAGAGAGAGAGAGAGAGAGGGGGAGAGAAAGAGAGAGAGCGAGATAGAGAGAGTCGCACGCCAGCTTTTGCTAGCTTATTAGCCTTTTCTGGTCAAAAACCCTTCTAAATCCAATTTCCGGTAAAAACTCATGCTCCTCTTCCCCGGGAACACCACCATCAAAAATGTGCTGTGGATGTGTCAAGTCATTCTCAATCATATTCCCATTATCTCTCTCTCATCGCTCCGCGGCGAACCCATCAACGGGTAGTATCGCTCCGGAGGCGGAGGATCGATCTCATCTTTTGCTTTCGAACCCGAGCGCCCGGCTTGAGCACGAGAAACACAACTCAAGGCCGTTCTGGGCTGGAGGCTTGGTTTCTCCCTCTCTCTCTCTCTCTCTCTCTCTCTCTCTCTCTCTCTCTCTCTCTCTCTCTCTCTCACACTCTCTCTCTCTTTCTATCTCGCTCACTCTCTCGCTCTCTATCCCGACTACGCTACGCTCCACCTCCAAAACTGTCGCCACCGCAACTTACCTGAAACGGGGACCGACCAAAAAATCAAAAGCCAAAAATTCAAGGGCAAAAACGAGGGGCCGTACTTTTTAAAGGGGCCTGAAAGACAAATTTTCCAAAGTCCAAGAGAAACCGTTGCATTCTTGCCTTCCTGGCCCCTTTAAAACCACGTAAAAATTGATCAAACAATGTAGTTGTTTAATCGAATGAATATTAAGCGAGTACCGTACGCAAAAATCCTTTTTACAGTAGAAAAATTATTTGCTTTGGTACCAGAATACCGTAACCCATCCCCTTTTTCAGCCGCAGCGTCTTCGAGGGCCGGCACTACACCTGCAGCGCCGACAATCACTGCGAGATCACTAATGGTAGGTGGAGTCTGGCGTGACCTAGTGGACGCAAGGGTCGATTTTCGCACTTCCTAGTTCCTTTAAAATCCTCGTTCATTGTTTCGGTCTCTGATTGATCTCAAAAATGGGCGCAGAGTTCTATCGGAAATGCTGTGGACTTTGTTCGATCGAGAAACGCGTCGGTGAGAGCCGGAAAGCTTAGAATTTGCATAAAGAGGGAGAGAGCGAGAGAGAGTGAGAGAGACAGAGAAAGAGAGAAAGAGAGCGAGCTAGGGCGAGGGATAGAGAGAGAGAGAGAGAGAGTGAGAGAGAGAGAGAGGGAGTGAGACAGTGATAGACCGACAGGAGCACGAGCTCGCCCTCCCCTGGGGTTGTTTCGGTGCTCGGAGCGCGGGCTCATCGGACTTTTGCTCGCTCGCCAAACGGACAACCCGGGGAGCCGCAGCGCGGAGAAACCAGAACCGTAAATGGTCGACCGATCGGATAGGGAGGGGGAGGAGAGAAAGGAGAGAGAGGGAAGTGTTTTCGGGGGTCGGCTCAAAATTGAACTTGCTGAATCTAGCGGAATTTAGACAGGAAGTTGATAAGGATTTCAAAATTTAGCCGAAAAATTTCGCTAAGCAAAAGCAAATTTTGCCTAAAGAAACTCGGCCAGCCTTGCCCGATCTAATCAAAACTGATCAATTTCGATGCTTGAGTAACTATTTAAATTGCCGTAAAAATAGACTTAAAGAATCTCCGCAAAAATTTCCGCAAAAATCTCCGCTGGCTGGACTAGAATTTCCCAAAAAATCTCTGTTAGTTTGTGTGCATTTTCCGAAAGGTTCTCTGCTAGCTTGCCTCACACTGATAATTTTGGAATGCTCAAATCCATCCTAGCTGCCGTACGCTATACTTAATTCCATATTCAGAATCCCGGAACCGATGTCGCGCCTGTCGTTTCCGGAATTGCCTGGAGGGTGGGATGAACCCGAAGCATGTCCGAGAAGAGAGGAGCAAATCCGATCGTCTACCCCAAGATCATCACCATCATCGCCCTCAGGAGCCCCAGCAACCCGTTCGGACGGCTAGCACTCCAGGTTGGTACTGATCTTCCCAGTTGCGGCTCCCGGAAAAGCAAAAAACTGAAAACCGAAATTTCCGAATGCAAAGGATCTCTGCCAGCTTGCCCTCGACGTCTCATCAATTTCTGCTAAATCACACCCCTACTACCGTAGCAAATTTTTACGAAAACTTGCCCCAGCTACCGTAATCCAGCGTTTTGGGCTACTGTAGATATGTCAGTTATCAGGGAGATTGGATCAAAATAAACTATGATAATTGCCGAAGCGATCACTTGCTCATTAGAGCCCCCTCGGGCGACATGATGAGCAGGTTTTGAGGCTTGTTTTTCTGCATCCTTCTGTCTGTCGGTCTTTCCGTCCCCATCCTTCTGTTTTTATCTATGTCTGTCTGTCTGTCTGTCTATCTCTTTCTCTTACTCTCTCTCTCTCTCTCTCTCTCTCTCTCTCTCTCTGTCGCTCTCTTGCTGTGTCTGCCAGGCTTGCATCGGCCGATTTATCGGGCTCAAGCATCATAATGACGCTGGGTGCTCATTGGTGACTAGCGATTTGAGCTTCGGAATCTCTTGAACCGTCGAACTTGCCGAACTCGCCGGGCCTATTGGGGCTGTCGGGCTTGTTGCAGTTGTCGGAATTGTCGAAGGCGTCGAACTTTTCCAAAGTCCCGAACTTGTCGGAGTTGTCGGACTTTTTGGTATCACCGAGCCTGAAAAGCCGCTTTTTGGTAACTTGTTCAAGCCGCTGAACTCGCTGTCGATGGTGAACCTTCGGCGTTGCGTTAAGCAAATACAACGCACTGTCCTATACCTGTAGGCTCATTTGATGCCGCACTTTGATGAAGCTCGCTCTAAAGCTCGAGCTCATCAAAATCTATGTTTCTCAGCGTGCTCGTGCTCATCTACTCGCGCTGAAATGTAAGTCTAAACGGTTTGTATGAGGCATTCCTCCGTTTCAAAATTCCTTGAACTCAGCTCGTCCTCCCCGAACTCTGGCTCACCGCCCTGAACTCGTTGATCGCTAGCTCATGATTGGGTGTGGCTGTTTACGAACATTCCAGGCTAAAAATGGCACGGGCATTCCCGAATAGACCCCTCATTTGGTCAACTTTTCGAACTCCTTGATCTCGTCGTGGTTTCGCGTTGCTGTTTACGAATCTTTTAGGAATCATTGGAATGGCATTCCCAATCAGGCACTTAAACTGATCACTTTTTGAACTCCTTGATCTCGTCGTGGTTTGGTGTGGTGTTTACGGCAATGCGTTCGGCGCATCGTCCGCTGTACTATCGCGTTCAGCTCATCAGCACCTCTCTAGGATCGCCCCGAAACAGCACAAAATAGACAAACTGTTTGGTACGCCGAGAGCGGCACATGTTTTCGGCCGGGATCCAAATTCACGCTCCGATTCCGCGGGACTCCGCTGAACAACACGGCGTTGTCTCGATGATCAGCAACAGTCAGTGGTTCGCGCGCGGAGCGGCTGACTGATCCTTCGCTCTCGGCGCGTCACCCCCGACGATCTCTCGATTGGAAAACGAAAAAGAGTCACCCGACCGAGTCGACCCTTTTCGGCAAAATCACGAGAGTTTTTGGGCAGACCGGGGATGCGCAGAAAATAAATCAGAGACTGGAAAAACTTCCGCATCAAGGTCTGCTACGGGGAGACGGAGGTTTTAAAGGTACTTGGAAGATCAATTTCGACGTCATCAAGGAGTTCGGGAAACTTCTGGAGTCCAGGCTCGCCCTTGAGACTTAGCTCATTAATGCGCACAATTTTTAAGTTCTATCCCGCGTCACGAGCGAGTTCGACGCCTCAATGCCCCAAAAACCCGTTTTTTCAAGCCCTGAAACCCCATTTAGCGCCCAGCTTCATGTCCGGAATCCTAGATCGCGCCCTCCCACCGTGATAGGTTCAAAATAACAACCCCGGCGCGCCGCGTCCATGTACAGCCCGGTGCCACGCGTCAAACTCTCGCCCCCAAAAATTCTTGGCGCAGATGTGCAAATGGACGCGCGGAGCGGCGCGTAGGCCGAGAGCCCGGAATTCATGCCCGGCACCAGAGTTCGACGCTCTTCACCGAGCTACACAACAGTACGGTATACGTAGGACGACAAAAGGGGGAAATCGGCCCGGGTTTGTTTCGATGATCAGCCCCGTGCCCTAAACGGGCAGGCGGAATCGGGCGCTCTGCCTGAAAAGCCGATGAAAAGCGCGCGCGTCCGGGCGATCGCGACCGATTTTGGTGAGCCGCAGTCGGGGACCGGCGTAAATTCGAGCACCGCGGATTTTTGGGTGCAAACCGCGGGGCTACGGTAGAAAGAGCGTGCAGGAAACGGCTTGAGATCTTGCCCGCGGATATCGAGTCCAGAACAACGGAATTCAGCTCTCGGATTGACTGCTAAAAAGCGGACCCTGATCTCGCTGACCTCTTGCTCCTCATGGGTGGATGAAAAACTGATTGAGAGCGCTTTTTGGGGGAGTACTTGAAATAATATTGACGTAATTGTTAAATAAACTTTATTATTACGTTTCGCAACGTCTGAATTACAAAACGTCGAAAAATGTGATTTCGAAAGTGTCTAAAACCGAATTAAAAAACGCTCTGACTCTAAAAATTACAAAATTTGTTAATACAAAACATTGTAAAACAAACTCTTATCACCAAATAAAAATAGCTTCTAAAAAACTTGAAAATTGCCGAAACTTGAAAACCCGTTTAAAACCGAAAACTTGGTTATTTTTTGGGGCTACGGTATCTGAAATTTCGGCATTACAAGAGTCGTCATTTTTACGCAAAAGCAGCTATTTTTGTACAAATTATTCGAAAAAAGCTGTTTCCAGTGAAATTTGCATTTTTTCGCACCAATTTTAAAAACTCTGAAATGACGCTTTTTTGCAGCCAATTTTTGATTGTAAACCCCCTCAAAATTGTCAATATGATCAAGCCGTACAGCAACTACCGAGAGTACGTAACGTCATCTCGTGTTCATGCTCTAAGCTCCTGCTCCCTCGAGTCACACTCAACTTTTTGAACCAGCCACCCCCAAAAAAAGCCCAGACCTAGGGGAAAGCCAGCGTTCGGCCCGTTTCGACGGCGTCTCCTCGAGGGGATCGAATCGAAAAGAGGCTGATCCTTCGCTCCGTTGTACGCGCAGGGAATGACGGCGTTTTTTGAGGAATTGCGGGATGTCTGTTTTGGCTTTTGCGGCTGGGGAGAAACGGAAAAGTTTAAATGGCTAATTTTACTATAAAAATTTTGTAAAAGTTGCTAAAAAAGTGTTAATTCCTAGGGCAAACTGGCAGAGATCATTTGAGAAACCAGGCCCATAAAATCCCTGAAAAATCCTCTAAATCCCGGTGAACATAACACTAGCGCTTTGGCAAGCTGGCGAAGATCCTTGGAGAACCTAAGAAATCTGTCAGGATCAGCCTAAATAAAAAACCCTTAACAAATTAGCTAGGATCCGGTAAAAAAAACAGTTGATCTACGCTAAATTGCATCCAAATTAAATTACCAATTCCAGTCGAAGAGCAGCAGATCACGCTCTTCCTCGCCGCCCTCGAGCGCCAGTGCGAGCAGCTCACTGACGAGGATGCTACGGTAAAGGTTGTCCCAGTTACCGTAACCCAGCTTCAGACCGAACAATCGCAGCTGCACGAGATCGCCAAGCAGGTCACCGACAGCCTCAGCCTGCAGAATATCGCCCGGGTGCGCAGGAGGCCGGTCAGTATCCTTCTAGAGATTAAAAGTGAAAATGAAGCGTGTCTTGATACCAAAAAAATATTTACATTTTTCAAACTCGAAAAAGCTAGTTTTAGCGCTTCTAAAGCCATAACAAAAAAATCGACGAGCTTATCACTTTTAAAGCCCGAAAAACGCCTATTTTGGTCGTTGAAAAGCTATAACAGAAAAATCTTCTAGTTTTTAAGTTATAAAACTCAAACAATGTTTATTTTAGTGATCCTAAAGTCACAATCACTAAAAAACAAGTAAGAGAGACTAAAAAACAAGTAAGATACCTTTTACAACTAACCCTTATAGATGGTGTGGACGTGCGAGCGCGTGATGAGCGACGAGGACATCTCATCGGCCTGGTACCGCGCCTTTGTGCTGCTGGCCGATTGGGCGATGAGCATTCCGGAATTCCGGATACTTCCTCAGAACGATCAGGTAAGCATCGAAAATGGTACCGAAATCCTAGATTTTAAAATAATAAAATTGCTAGAATGTTCTTTTTTAGACAACCCTCTTCCGCCAGAACTTCAACACGTTCGGCTGGCTGCACTACGCCTACAAGTGGTAAGCGAATGACTTCTATTTTTCTGAAAATGTCGTTATTATTAGCGTGGTATTTGCTTTCTATTGCCATTTTTATAATACATTTTCAGCTTCTCGCACGGCCACATGGCGATGGGCACCCCGATCGGCAACGGCTCCTACATTCCCTACCAAGATATCGATCTGATCAAGCTTGGGCCAAAGTGAGTAATTTTCGAGGAAAAATGTAAAAAAGCTTTTGGAAGCTTCTAAATTAGCTGTAGACGTCAAAAACCAATAACCCCTTCCAGATGGGCAGCCACCTACGGGCAACTCGGCAAAAAGATCATCGAGAGCCTCGTGAAACCCATCGCCGAGCTGGACATTGACGAAGAGGAGTATTGCCTCCTGAAGACCATCGCCCTCTTTCATCCTGGTAGGTTGATAGCTAATCTAACGTGGTTTAGAATTCGGGAAGTTCAAAGTATCAAAAACAATTCCTCTTTCAGACAACTCGCTGTCCGACGCTGGTGCCGCCATCGCCAGTCGGCAACGCGACAAACTTCTCGAAGCCCTGGCTGTGCACATTGAGCGTCGATACCCCAACCTCAGCACTTCCCAGAAGACGGCCAGGACCCTAAAGTCCAGCCTGCTCTTCCCTTCACTTATTGTAGGTTTTTAATCTTCAGTGATTGCGTAATTTATCTCCAACCTAAAAACAACCCATTTTCAACTTTCAGGCAGTCTCCCAATTCGAGGCCTCCTTCATGCAAAACCTCAGCGCGCTCGAGGTGGCCTCCCTGTGCGGCATCTCCGGCGACGTGCTGCGCTCCCTCGAACAAAAGTAGAACCCGTCACCCATACTCCATTACCCAGCTTTCATCCCAGTTCACCACCATTCCCCCAACGGGTAAACCCCCAAATATTGTGATTCTTGATGCCCTGCGGTTATGCCAAACCCTGCCGCCCAATGCATATTCTATGTTCTTCCGCGAAGTATAATGAACCTCATACGCCACGAACGCCTTCCAAATCCCCACCATAATCACAACGTATTTCCTTACAGTTCATATCTCAGGGCAAAATAAATCTTCTATCTGAATGGCTTCTAAATGCACAATGGCTAAATGATTGCATGCTCTACAGACTATAGATGTGCGCAGCGATCAGCGACAAGCAAACATAGGATCCAATGATTTATAATGCGATTTAGTACAACAACATCGTAATGTAACACCTTTATAACAAAAACAAAACAAAAATGATACTTATTTCTTGGCGGCGGTGCCGGCGGCGGCCTTCTTGGTTCCTCGGACCTTCTTCATCCTGTTCTTCTTCTCCTTGCGTTGTTTCCTGCCACCCTTCTCCTTCTTGGTAGCAAGTCCGAACTGAAAAAGAAACATTAGGAAGTTAGGCAAAAATATAGCAGCCAACATTCCTACCCAAGCCGCTAGAAATACCGCCAATCAATGGTCGAGGTTAACACCTCTTGAAACTGCGAAGCCAAGCCTGATTTTGGCAAAGCAAGACCAGAACTACTCCAGGCGTTTGCACACCTTACAACAACACCAAATCCATAAAACTAAGCGACCCCGTCTATAGGCAAAAAAATAACGGGCACTATCGTTACTGATTTTGACAAGAACACCGCTTTGTTTCAAGTCTTTCCCGAAGCAGAAAAGCATTCATAAAAAGCAAACGTACTCGGATCAATCGGTGCTTGGGCTCGAACTTCTTGCAGAAATCCATGGAGTCGTAGACGAGGGCGAAGCCTGCGCTGCGGCCACCTCCATATTGGCACCGGAATCCGTAGGCGATAACGAGGTCCTTGGTCGTCTTGTAGATGTGGGCGATCTTGTCGCGGATCTCGTCCTTGGAGACGGACGGGCGTCCTGGATGGATGATCTCAACAACCTGAAAAAGGCGTTGTAGCGCTCAAAACAATTGTTACCATCTGTTTGCGGGCGAGTAGGGGGTTGCTGAGCACCTTGCGCGTGCGAATTGTCACGACGTCTCCCATATTTGCGGAGCAGGTGCTGCCTGGAAAAGTGAACTATATAATTTGCACAAAAGAAGGGAGAAGACAAGATCATGAAAGGAGACGCAGGTCAGTGAGTATGAAAGTCCGTGAGCCCACCCCGCCGTTTTCTTTGAATTACAAAGGCCAAGAAGCAGAGAAGCGCGCCATAGATTTCGGCGACGACTTCTGCGCAAAAGCATTCCGAAACACTGGACAGCTTGATAAACAGAGTTGCAGGAGTAGCTCCTAATTGCCGAAAAGTTGTTCTGGGAGTTTCCGATAACTCTTGGCCCCAAGAAGATATGTTCAAAATTCTTATCAACATGCTCGAAACATAAGAGTGAAATGGCATAAGGCAGAAAAACGACACAAGAGCGCTCAAAGCGATAGCTTTTGCCGAAATTACAAAATTTGGCATGAATTCCCCATTATTTTAGCAAAATCCAGCGAAAAAGCGGGCAAGGCCGTGGAAATGTTCAAAGGCGGGTGGCCGCGACAGGACCCCGGCGCCCAGTGGGTACGGTGTAAAGGGGGCTGGGGCGCGGTATAGGAATCATGAGCCGGCGACCGGGGGTTCAAAAGCAAAAAATTCCAAGGCTTGTGAAATTTGACGGGCCGGTTTTTATCCCTCTGGGCCCGCGAGTACGGAGCGCGCTTTAGCAAACTTCCAGTACGTTCCTGCCTATTTACCAACAAGTGTATGGAGTATTGCAACGGAACTTCATTTTGTTTTCGTAATTTACAACTTTACATGTTTGTCAGCAATTGCGAGAAGAAAGATAGTTTGCTGAAGAATTTCTCTTCGTAGTTTCGGCTATAAGTTCCTCCTGACCTTGGTTTCCAATACTAGCTTTTGTAAAACGCCTAGTCGTTGTGAAATCAAAAAACTGTTCAGCTAGAACATAAAGCTAGAACTATTCTCTCCTGCGATGTGCCGAATTGCCAATACACGGCTCCATACAGTGGCAACTATTGAAAACACCAATTGTCAGCGCATGGAATCTCAGTTGCTGCAAATGAAAATCCGAGCGATGGGCGCGACCAGAAGAAACACCGGTGCGGTGAATGCGATGCAGCATATGGCTCGAAAAAGAAGCTACAGGAGCACGTGTAGAAGGAACGCAACCAAAACTTCTAAACACTTCAAAGAACGCACTTCAAAAATTGTGCGCAACGTTTGTGAGTTTTACGCCGTCACGTAGAAAGAGCTCGCACTGCATTATCGCGGACAAAACATCCAAAAGCCTGTATAGTTTTTTAATAATAATTTAACCCATCTACTCACGAGGTGACGATGGTTATGATGGAGGATATTGACGTACCTTTGGCTTGAATACTTACTACAGCTGCACTTTTGCCGTCAGACATCTTCGGTATCTAATGCCGGACAACAGTGTTGTACAGCGTTTGTTCAGGTTTTCCGATGGCCCGTTTTCATTGAAACAATTTGTAAAATAAATTAAACCACTGTCTTGCCCACCGGAGAAACCTCCGTTAAGTATTGCGGCGCTACTTAAGTTTGCTGGCCCCACTTATATATGGTCAAAACCTCATTTTTCTGGTTCAGTTTTTTTGCGCTGATTACGGAAAACACTATGCCAGCCCACGAAAATGCGATTTAGTAAAACAATTTAATTGGAGTGTCGGGAAAATTCCATTTTACGGCGGTCGCGTAAAAGGAGCCTTTTTGTGGTTTTTTCATTAAATAATGGCCAAAACGGGCTTATCATGAATGAAGTAAGCCAGTAGCATTGTCAGGCAAGGCGGGCCGTCGCTTCGGATGGGCTGCCGCTCCACTCTTTCGAAATCGGGGCGCCTGGCCGCTACGCGCCTCGGGCGCCCCGATTTCGAAACCCTGTACGAGCTCGCACCCATCCGAAGCGACTAGGCCCCGGGGTGGCACGAAGCCTTATTTTTAGGAAAAAAAGCGGATACAATCGCTCAGCCTCGTTGGAAAAAGCTTTTCCACTCCCAGGTTGACCCCCTTTAAAAACTCAGACCAGAAAAACCGAGAATCAAGTGTTTTCTCCCCTCAAAATTCACGATTTCATTTTCGTGGGCTGAGATAGTGTTTTCCGTAATCAGCGCAAAAAACTGAACCAGAAAAATGAGGCTTTGGCCATTGATAAGTGGGGCCAGCAAACTTAAGTAGCGCCAGTATTGCTTACCATACGCATGACTTTGACCCTAAATTGATGAGCCTTGAAGTCTATAACCTATGAAACTACTGAAATTCTTCAGCAAACTATCTTTCTGCTCGCAATTGCTGACAAACATGTAAAGTTGTAAATTACGAAAACAAAATGAAGTTCCGTTGCAATACTCCATACACTTGTTGGTAAATAGGCAGGAAAGTACTGGAAGTTTGCTAAAGCGCGCTCCGTACTCGCGGGCCCAGAGGGATAAAAACCGGCCCGTTGAAATTTGACGTTTACCGACAGTATTCGGAGGGTTAACGGAAGCTAAAATAAAAAAATCTACAAGAATATCCGGTGCAAAATATTTATTCATGCAAAATAAAACGTAAAAACAATGAAATATGGGTAGGGTCCTTTTTATCCTTCATTCTTCTCAATTCGCTCCTTGTAGCTGATGAGATGGTCGTTGAACTGCCTGGCGACGGGCATATACACTTCGCACTGCTTCTCGAAGTCGACCGAGAGTTACGTCATCTCGTCGGCCAGTTCTCTGCCCGCGTTGTAGTGCGCCTTCTCTTTGATCTCCTTCAACTTCTCGGCCCCAGCGCTCGTCAGCTTCGCCATGCCGTCCCGAATCAAGGAGTGCAAGTACTGAAAAGAGCAGTAAGTAATTGACAAAACATAAAAACGATAAGCCAAAGACGTCTAGACGTACCTGAAAATTCTTGTCGTAGCCCTCGAACAGGCCGAGAATGTGGGTAGATGTGCGATCATGGAGTGACGAGAGCTCGACTTGTAGAAGCGTAACGATCTCGTGTCCTTGATGCGACTTGACAAAGCAACCGCCACACGTCACCGTTGAGCAATTGTTGCAATGGATCAAGCTGGCAATCGGAATCTTATTTTCGCAATCACAGCACTCCTTCATTGTGGCGTTTGGCTTTTCATCAGCTTCTGTCTCTTCGTTTATTAGGATTCTTCCAACGTCAGCCGGCCTCTCGTCTAGCAATTGCGCGAAGAACTCGAGCAGAATTTTGCATTCCGGATTCGCATCATTCCCGTAGAAGGCGGCGCATTGGTAGCACTGGCTCTCTCGATTATTTGCCTTGCAATCATTGCAAATCAAATGGCCACACCTCAGAAAATGTGGTAATCGGGGGCTGATGTTCATAAATAGCTTCTTGCATCCTGGGCATCTCGGGAGTTCCGGAATGCCCTGAAGTTGGTATCCACCGGCAACTTTTTCGAACACAGGCTGGCTGAGAAGGTCGAGAAGCCAGTGGGCCGGATCGCGGCCGGTACCATTTAAGGAAGCAGCACATCCGATCCTCATTTCGTTCCCGTAGTGGCCGACGAGAGGTGACTTCGCGAGCCCTTGGTTGCTGTCAAAAGGGTCCTGGCAGCGGAAGCAATTGAAGCACTTGTAGATCTTCATGCGAGTTGACGATGGTCGAGTTGTGCAGGTTCCAAATCGGGTTGATAGACCTAACAAAGTTGGTGAACGTTTGGCAAAGAAAACCAAAAACGACACGCATTGGCTGTGTATCGCAAAAAAGAAAACAATGAAATAGGGATGAAAATGCAAGGAAAGCTAAATCGACGAAAATTCTATAATCTATCCCTAAGGCGTGCATTTTTGAAGTAAGAAAACAAGAGCCAAGGCTTTAAAAAATTATTAAATTGCCTA